CCGTACAGCAGCCTCAGATCCCGCCTCCGCGCTCCGTCCGCGTCGTCGCCGCTCCGGTGCCGGCTCGTCCCGTCTGCGCCGGGGAGGTGGGCCGGCTGGCGGGGAGCGAGGCTTGCCCTCCGCTCCTGCTCTTCGGAGGTCGGACCCTGTCATCGCCTTGGGCCTCGGCTGCGCTCGCACTCGCGGTCGGTCCGACCGTGCTGGGCTCCCTCCTGGACGGCGGGGCGCACAGTCCGCGCCGGCGGGAGGATGTCGCGGCAGGGTCAAGGGAGATGAGTCGCGTGTGTTTGGGCGCCCCCCAGTCTGTCGTTCCGTACTCGCAGGGGACAGTGAACAGTAGTCGTTTACATCGACGGCCCGTAAGTCAGTCAGCCGTGGGTTCGAATCTGCTCTGCTGGGTCACTGCTTAGGTGCCCAGTCCTCGCGCAAGCTGGCTCATCAGCATTTGCCTGGTTACAAGTGGAAAACCTGGCGTATAGTGCTTTCTGAAAAGTAGCTGTGACATTAGCATCCGCACAGTTGCAGCACACAGTAGGCACTCCAGGGAGACAGATGGGGACATATTTAGTTAAATTTCCTTTTGTATCATTTCTTTAAAAAGTATTTTTATATGTTGTATTTATTAATATTTTGTTTTCATTCCTTTTTTTTTTGAGATTTAATTGACATACCATAAAATTCACCCCTTAAAGTGTGGTGTTTTTTAGTATATTCATTTGTATCTTTTTTTATTAAATAATTTAAGCAAATTAATAACATAAGCAGTTTTGCAGAGGATATAGCAAAAGAATGTATTTTTTAAAAAGAATGAGTGTCTATTATTCAACTTAGCAGTTGTTAGTGGTCAGTTTTATATCCCATATGGACTTGGAAAAAATAAAACTTTTTGTCTAAATTTTAGCCTAAAATTTATGTACTTCTGGCCTGACCTTTCTTCTTCCTTCTGCCTGCTTGACAAGATGTAACTATTTCAAAAGCAAAACTCAGGGGAGGAATCAGGGAGAGGGCTTGATCAGATGTCACTGGTCTGAAGGCATTTATGTAAGACACTCTGGTTTCTTTTGCCTGATGCCCAAAGCAGACAGAGACTTAGGGGTGGAGTTAAAGGTTGTATTTCCAATATTTATATCTGGTGTTTATGATCATGAAAAATACTCATATTTTTTCTTTAAAGTGAGAACTGAAAGATGAATTGGTTGACAAGTTAGTGACCCTTCAGCATTTTCAGTGAGCTTATTTTCATCATTTTCCTTCCTTAACACCACTGTACGAAACTGTGGTATCTCAAGTCTAGTCATTAAAGCAGCAAGAGAAGGATGCAAGGACCCAGGAAAGTGATGTCTACCAATAGGGGCTGTGAATGTTCTGCCCTCACACAAAGCTCCCCAATTGACAGGATTTAAATCCCTTAGCAAAGATGAACTGGGCACATCCTCTGTAGCTCACTTGGCTTGGGATGGCTTGGGATGTTTTAGCTGGTTCTGGTTTTGTTTAGATGGTTTAGATGGTTTAGCTTCCCCCTTCTGCTTCCCTCAACAGCAGTGCTTCCTGGCTGATCCCCTCTAAACTTGAACCTCCTCTCCAGTGAACAGCCCTGTTCCACATTTCCCTCCAGGAGAATCCCATGTAGCTGGTCTCAGCCGAGTGTTAGAAGCAAAGCCATGGATCTGTTGGTCATCCTGGGAGCTTTCCCTCCACCTTCAGACTAGAATAGGGCCCCCTTATATTTCAAAAGGCATGAAAGTTTTTGTATCTTTGATATTATAACTCCCACTCTGGGAATTTCCCCCCAAAGAAATGAGACTATACATACAACAATAATATACAGCAAAAGAAGACAGGTTAGGTAAGTAATGTTGAGTCTACTCAAAGGCCTATTATGTATCTAAGGTTAGGAAAACTATTACCAACAGTAAAATATTTGTCATTTGTTAATCAAACAAAAAAGTAAGGTGCTAAGTTATAGCTATATTATGACTACAACCATGGGAAACACACACAGGAGAAAGACTAGAGAGAAATGCATTCAATGGTCACACGGGCCATGGTACAGAAGCCAGGAGGGTGCCATCCCACACAGAGGCTGTGCAGTGAGAATACTTAAGTTTGAAGCTTGGTCCCACCACTGAAAGCTCCATGACTAAGAACAAATTATTCGGAACCTCAATTTACTTTTAAAAATAAGGATATTTAATAGTGTCAATCTCAGGACTATTGTATAGATAAATAAAAGTTTATGTGAAGCTTTTAAAACAGTATCAGGCCATCATATATTAATAACTCAAATGTTAGTTATTGTAAAATAGAATCACTAGATTTTTTTTTCTTGTATTTGTAATTACAGGTATACATCCATGTGAAGGTTTAAATCCCAGCTTCATCAATTTACTGTCTGTGTAACCTGGGCAAGTTATTTAACTCCTCTATGCTTCAGTTTGCTCATTTGTAAAATGGAAATAATGGTACCTTTCTGAGTCATGGTCCCCTCCTGCCCGTGACCACCCCAACCACAGCTGTTCACAGCATGACACATAACTTTAAAGTTGTAAACTCCCATTCAACACTCTGAGAAGGAGACATCTAAGATCTCTATTTCTGTAGGCTTAGGGTACCTTATGAAGTAAACATTCAACTACTCTGTCTAAAACACTGGAAACAGTATAAAAGTAATTTATCATTAGGTAATCAGCTGTCTTATATCTGAATTTATTTTAAGGGATCTTTTAGAAGTACCTTTTCAAAAAGTTTGTATAAATTATATGTTGTCTCTTTACTAAATGTGTCCTGAACTAGAATAAAATCAACTTGTGAGCAAGAACGGTGTTTTATACTTCTTTTGACTCTCACTAAACCTGGCACATTACTAGGAACATTTTAAGGGTCAATTAATGCATGCTGGTTAGACAACCATGGCTAAAGATTATGTTTTAGCATGGAATTGATAACAAATGAGCTTTAGTTATCACATTTACTTTCTCCTAACATCTGCCTTACCCAGAAACAACTTAAACCACTTCAAATTCTTTCAGTGAAAGTATAGATCACAAACACCAAGGTATCTGACTCTTTTATTTTCTATCGGTTGCTATTTGTGGGGTCACACTAGTCAATTCTAGTTACTCTTCCCGTAACAGAACACTTTTCTGCTTATGGACTCTGAAAGAGAAATTGCAAACAAACAGAAAACCAACCTTTTTAGACATACATAAAGAATCAAGAATTTTCTAAAAGTATAATCTGAAAGTCCTATTTCTACCTTCTGTCTAGTATGCATATTGTCATTCTCACTATTCTACTAGAATATGTCTTCACATTTCAAACTGGATTACTCTTTTAAAATATTGGATTACATTCAAGTACTAAAAACAAGAACAGTGCATTCTATTGAATATTTTTGCATGTTCTTATTGCAATACTAGTTAAAACACCAGCAAATAATTTTTTACACATTCAGTAGCTCAACAAATGCATGATACTTTTAATTTGACTGAAGTTGCAAGTCAGTTGGTGAAAATGTATGAAATTGCAGCACTAATTTCTGAAATAAAAGGACGGAAATTCCTCTTTCCAACTTCTCCTTCCAGTCCATCACTACTCCGCATGTTCCTGCTCTTGTCCTGGAATTAGCCACCGAATACTCTCTGTTCGAATGGTCGCATACATAATAAAACTAATTAAAAAGAATAAGGAAAATACAAGCAACCAGTCCACACTTTTTATCAGAGTACTGGGAAGAGGGCCTATTTGGTCAGCTTGAGTTACCACCACATTTTTCTTGGCTTCTATACCTGAAAGAGAAATCAATTGTTTCAAATCAGTTAGAAAAAGCACCTGCCACAGACTTCTCTGAAGTATTATGCATGGTATGCAAAATGACATGCAGTCCTAAAATAAACACCACCACTAATATATCTGGGATGGATTTCACTTGCCTGTCAGTTTAATTTGTAACTTGCCTTTCTCCCCAATGCATCAAAGGATCAGGAATCCATTCAGCTATTCAAAGCTAAAACACTACAATTTCTGAGAACTCATTAAGAGGTTTCTTAGACAATGCATTGTTAAGAGTTGCCTTTTGTGCTCTTTTGAGACCAAAATTCAACAAGTAACTAGTAAAGGTACTCTCAGAAGTCTACAGAATGTTTTCACAGGTTAATTAATGCTAAATTCAAAATGCTTTTAAATTTACAGAAAGAATTGTTAGACCAACTAGCCACCACTGGGATCAGTGATTACCAAAGATGCTGTGACTCCTAGATTTCAGTTGTGTTCTAGGTCTTCTTAGTGCATTGAACAAAATGAGTCCCACTCCCCACATCAATCTGAATGACAATTGGGAATCCACTGCAAGACTTGAAATAGCTAACCACCTTGTAATATCCCAGTCTTACGCCTATAGGCTAACTCAGCTCTTTGTTCTTTAGTGCTTAGATAAAAGTGACTACATGCAGCTTAATATATATGAAAGGTGTGTTACAATTTGTATTTATTTCCAGTGAATATTCTTCAGGAAGAAGTGGGGTGCTCATAATTGAGGCGAGCTAACTCAGCTCTTTGTTCTTTAGTGCTTAGATAAAAGTGACTACATGCAGCTTAATATATATGAAAGGTGTGTTGCAATTTGTATTTATTTCCAGTGAATATTCTTCAGGAAGAAGTGGGGTGCTCATAATTGAGGCATTAAAGCTTTTGAGGAGTGAACTTTTCCAGTGGAAGAGACTTCTCCAATTTACAATGCTCAAAATTTACATACATTAAAAAATAAGGTCATATGTTTTGGCAAATATTAAGAAAATAGCATCTGCAAATGAATTAATAAATGGAATACTACTCAACAATAAAAAGGAACAAAACATAACCAAGGCAGTATCTCACAAGCACAATGTTGGGTAAAATAAGCTAGACAAAAAATAATACATACTATATGTCTCCATTAATATAAAGTTCAAAACAGGAAACACTAGTCTATGGTATTAGAAGTCAGGATTGTGGTTATCTTCAGGGAGGACAGGAGAAGTGATGCTGAAGAGGGGCTAGAAATGTTCTATTTCTTGATCCGAGTACTGGTTATTGTTCACTTTGTGAAAATTCATCACCCTGTACACTTAATGATTTATGCACATTTTTGTGTAAATATTAAAATGTAAGTGAAAAATATATGTTAAAAGGTTTCTATAAGTGGCTGGCCAGCTGCTAAAAATAAAATAAAAAGTACCTATAGGTGAAGTGTATGGTATGTGAATTATATTTCAATAAAGCTGTTTGGTTTTTCTTTAAAAAAGCATCTATAAACATTAAAATTACCTATTCATGTTGAACTTGCCATTTATTAGAAGATATTTAACAGGATCATAACAGTTCATTAGAAAAGTATTACATCTCAAAATCAATCTTGAATCCTTCACTTAGGATAAGGATTATAATAGATCAAAACCCACAGAAGGCACATACCCCCCACTACAAAATATCTTCTTCCTCAATATATTATTTCTACATACCCGTCTGATTAAAAATGAAGATTTTCAGTGTTTCCAATGTTCGATCTGTATGGTTAAATCTAGCCATTGGTTTAGCTCCTTGAAATAACAAAATGTTAGGAACAGCTACAGTGCCAAACCTAGTAGAAAGACTACAAGAGAAAGAAGTCAGTCAGAAAACCTAAATTAACGATGGGCTTTCTCACACAATTACCATATCAGAATGGACAGAAATAAATGAAAAAGGATCAGTTTCACGTGACCTAGGGAGGTTTCTGATATTTAAATTTTAGGCTTTTAGAGGGCCGCCCGTGGTGGCTCACTCCGGAGAGTGTGGTGCTGATAACACCAAGGCCACGGGTTCGGATCCCATATAGGGATGGCCAGTTAGCTCTCTTGGGAGAGCGCGGTGCTGACAACACCAAGTCAAGGGTTAAGAGCCCCTTACCGGTCATCTTTAAAAAAAATAAAATAAAAAATAAACTTCAGGCTTTTAGTTTGTTACTGACGTCTTTCCTTATGGGTCTTGGTTCGGGGCATTCCTGTTCTGCAATCTGAGTTGCTTTCTATTACAATATAGATGCACCCATGACATGATTATTTCACTATTTAAGTTCCTAACTGTGAAAACATCAAACAAAAAATGCTAATTCATGGACAAAGCACACTGGCAACTTACTTGACAGAAGAAATTTCAAAGTCTTCAGAATACCCCTCCTCACCACCCCTCAAAAAAGATCAACTTATGGTAAGCAATTAGTTTGGTAAGTTGGCACATGGGAATATATGATCTAACAAACACCCCAGGAAGTGTACAATTAGGGCAGGATGACTTGGAAGTAATATGACTTTTACATAACACAGACCAGTGGTGATCAGCTCTAGAGTCAAAACACTCGGTGTTCAAGCCTCAGTTTCCCCATTAGTAAAATAGCAATATTGGATAATCAGAATTTTTCTCCTTTGTAAACACGCTGACTTAAATATTAACATAAGAGGCAAACACACGTCCCAGCCCATATAATAAGAACAAGTGTCCACTTCTCTATAATTAAGGCACCATACCAGGCACTATATGGAGGTGAAGGAAAGAAAGAACAAAGCAAACAGTAAAAGCCTATGGTGGGGTGGAGGGAGGTGGTGGGGGCAGACAGTGCCAGACCCCAAACCAAAGAGTACTAAGAATGCATGGGGGCAGTGGAGGGCCTGTCAAAGCTGGACATTGACCTGAACTGTCCTCCCAATCAGTCTGTTTCCCTGGGCCAGGCCACTTAGTCCTGATGCCCATATGAGAATTACTAATTTGTGGGGAATTTCTTTCTTCATAAACAGCTTCAGGTAAACATTGGCAGATACATTCCCATACTGAAAATCAGTGGAGTGCAAATTAATAAGGTTTTGCTCTACTTCATTTTTCTTCATCTTCCAGACACTTCTAAATATTAACATACAAACTCCCTGTGCCCTGCTAAGAAGCATCCAATTTAGAAGAAGAGGGGGAACACACAGTTTATAACCCCAGCACAGTCATAGCACTTCAGGGAAATACAGAACACCTTAACAAAGTTCTCTGTACCTTATTTTATTGAACATTTAAAAAAAGACAAAAGTTTGCTGGTAGTCATCCTCAGGGTGGGGGGTGGGGAGGAAGAGAGAGAAAAGCTCAGTGAACTTTAAAAGAAATATAAAACAAAGGTAAATGTTATTTTAAAGAGCTAAATTAATTCATTATTTTATTGTCTACTGCAGAACATGCATGCAAGAATAAATGTAAATCATAAGAGAGAAAGAAAGAAGGAAGAAAAAGGAAAGGAAGGAAAGAAAGAAATCCTAAGTAGACACAGAACAGGGGTGCTGGGAGTTAGATTGCCAGGGGTGGGGACCTAAACTGTAGGTTAAAGTCAGAAAGGAATATCCTACTGTGATGCCAACTGTGCTAATTCAGTCTGGCCAGGACCCTAAAAATTCCTCTGGCTCCTCCCCTGCCATCAGGTGCCATCACCTGCCACCTTTAATTTTTTTATTTATTTTTATTTTTTAAAAGATGCGGCCCCACCCACCACCTTTAAATCCCCCACACAGAGAACAGGCCTCTTTCTTTAAGAGAGAAAGAAAGTGATGCCACCAGCTCCCTCAAGAGTTTGACAACCCTCACTACTCACTCCTGCCTTTCCCTTCCTTCAGTCCTGTTCCAAAGCTCATGCCCACCTCCTCTATTTCTAAGCTAACTAATTAAAGCCTCCAAATAACTATAACCATCAGCCAAAAGGATGAGACACAAACCCCACCCAGGGAACATACCTGCTGTGCTGAGATGCATCCAGTGCCAAAAAATGAAGAGCTGGAAATGCCCGGGGCAGAGAATTAAAATGAGGGGCCAAACTGGCAGAAAATCGGCACCATGGGGTGTAGAATAGGACTAGGGTACAGTCACTACCGTTTGGATTTAGAAAATCCATAAGATCCTATGGTAAAAGAAACAAGTGTTAAAGTCAGCAGTAAATGTACATGTACACTTTTCTGGAAGGTTACCCAAGAAACAAGAAATACTGCTGCCTCCAGGGAGAGGAGGGAGACTGTGCAATGTACCCTCAGGAACCTTTTGTATTTAGAACCATATGAACCTGTGAATCAGCAGCAAAGTACTATCAGATGCCACATTATAAACTTTCCTCTAAGCTTTCCTAATATTACTACAGAGCTATTCAATTATTTTTCATAATTCATCAATTCAAATACTAAATGCTCACAGGATACAGGCCACTGCCCCAACCTTTCAACTGTGCATCTCAATCTAAAATGGCATTATTAGAGCACTATGATCTCAGATCCAAACTATAATCTCAGTAGAGCTGGGTCTATACTAAGCAGTCGGATCAATATATTTTGTCACGGGGCTGGCCAGTTAGCTCACTCCATAGAGCATGGTGCTGATAACACCAAGGTCAAGGGTTCTAATCCCCATACCAGCCACCCGCCAAAAATAAAAAAATTTGGCCAAAGGTTAGTTCAATTCGAGGGTGCACCGCCCCTGCCACCATCTGTTTAAACTGTAACTCAGACTGTTTAAACTGCTCTCTCGTGGTCATGTATGACCCGTGAAACAGTCCTAAAGAGCTGAGGCACAGTGTCTACTAGTCACTCAGAGGGAACATGAGGCCAGCACTAGCCCCTGCCCTTGGAGGAGCGACACGCACTAAATGGACTGTGCCCTCCTTGACAGCAAGCAATCACAGCTTTCAAAGCTAGGATCTACTTCTCTTTTATAAGCAGCCTGAATTCATCCTGTTCTTCTGGCTTCTTAACCAGCCTACAGAAATTGTCAGTCTTTATTTCAGTATTCCCTTTGGAATCACCATTTTTCCAACTATCTGGAAAAGCACGGCTTGGTTTAGGAGAATGGTTTCAGCTCTCACTCCAGAATAAACAGTGGATTCACATTCTTTAGAGGAAAGAGAAACTATCATCAATATTTTAATGAAAACATATTTTCTAGGGGCATCGCTAGTCTAAATAATGCTAAATTACAATTTTAGTAATTCAGATATTTTTAAGTTGTCTCTATTATAAATACTTCATTTGGAAGAAGAAAAACGCCGTGATTCTGATGTCAAGCACCTATCTGTCCACTGGGATTTTTATCATGAGTCCTGGTGGTAAAATTACTGCAAGACGAGTAGGCTTAGGCCACCTAAAAAGCCTAATCGACACTAGTTATATTTCCTCCTTTCCCTATAAACATCATAGACAGCAAAGTCAATTTTCACTGGAGCAGTCATTAAATGCTATTCCAATGCAATATGATAAAGATTATGACTCTCCCTTTGAAAGTTGATAGAGTATTAAATCATAAAATTAACGTGCTAGAAAGGAGAAAAGTACTATATAATTTTTTTTCTTACCTGTGACATATTCAAAATTTTCAGAGTAAAATTTTCTAATCCCGTCACATTTCTCTCCTCACAGGTCACCTTTGGGGATTTCAGACTTTCGGTGTTATTGGCGTCCTCTGTCGGGGCTGGGTCGGATTCTGGCACTTCTGGCTCTGCGTAATACTCCTCTTCCCTATCAGGGAAGTTTGCTCTAGCACTGTCCAGAGAGTAGAGGCTCTCTCGGAGGTCACACCTCGAGTCTTCCTCTCCTCCAGCATCACAGGTGCCACTGCTGTGCCCTGAGCTCAGTTTGTCCTCAGCTTCCCCAGGAATCACAGACAACATCACCCTGTGGTCACCATGGGTGTCCAGTCCCAGCACTGCATCAGCCTCTTCTGCTGCCCTGTCCTGGCCCATCGGATCATGTGGGGGCTCCTCTTCACTCAGGTACACAACCCCCACCTGCAGAGGGTGAGCAGGCTTCTCCTCTGACAAGTGACCACTTTCCTCTGCAACTAAACCATGCCAGCATGTTCACAGTCATATTTGACTTGAAAATAAATGATCCCCAAAGAATTACAGTCCTCAAATATGAAATGTTCCCTTTCTATTAAACTATCAGAGAGCCACCCACCATTCTCCAGTTCAGGAAGAAGGTCACAGAGCATACTAGATTAATGACTATTAAATAAATAAGTGGATAAACACACAGTTTACATGAACCCTGCAGCTTGCCATGTGGATTATAACCAAAAATATTCCAGTGGAGATATCCAATTAAGAAAATATAAACTTGTTAACATTTTTATTTGTTTGATAAGAATACTCAAGAAACTACTAACAGTTTTGTGCAAGATTCTACTAAGGCAAAGCATCTTTGCACACATTGTAACAGCTCTGTGAGATAGGCAAGACAAGCATTATCTACCCCACTTAATAGATGACCAAGTTAAAGCACAGAGAAGCTAAGCGTGGTGCCCGATGGCACATAGCTAGTAAGCAGCAGAGCCAGGTCTGGAAGCAAAATCTTTTGGCTGTTACCCAGAATAGGCCTTATCCTCCCTGCCATGATACCTTGGATACCCCAGAACAAAGCTCAAGAATATTTATAGGAATACTAAAATATCCAGTGTTCAACAAGGTAAAACTCCTGTCTGGCATCCAATCGAAAATTACCAGACATTAGGCTGGCCGGTTGGCTCAGTTGCTTACAGTGTGGTGTTGTGATCCCCATATTGGCTAGCCACCAAAAAAAAAAATTACCAGACATGAAATATAATCCATAATGAGAGTTACCAGCCAATCAAAACCGACCCAGAACTTACACAGATGTCAAAATTAGTAGACAATGATATTAAAATAGTAATTATAACTGTGTTACATATGTTCAATAAGTTAGTTTAGGATGTTAAAAAAAAAATCTTACTTCTAAAGATGAAAACTATAAAAAACTACATGTATGAGATGAAAACTGCACTGGATGGGGTTAACAGCAGATAAGACATTGCAGAACAAAAGAATAGTATACTTAAAGGCATAGTAATACACAGAACCTATCCAAAATGAAACGCATTCAGAAAAAAAGAATCTGCCTGCCCCCCGGCCATATAAAAGCATCAGTGAGCTATGGCACAATTTCAAGTAGCATAATGTATAGATAATTGGAGTACTGGAAAGGGGGTGGGGGGCAGGGAGAAAAATATTTTAAGAAATAATGGACAAAAACTTTCCAAACTTGATAAAAACTATAAATCCTAGTATCCAAAAACCTCAACAAACCCCAAGCTCAATGAATTATACCAAGGCATATCATAATCAAATTGCTCAAAATAGTGACAAAGAGAAAAATCTTAAAAGCAGCCAGAGAAAAAAGACACATTATATACAGAGTAACAAAGACAAGGATGACAGCAGATTTTTTGCTGGAAACAATGCAAGCAAGAGAAGTGTCTTCAAAGCACTGAAAGAAAACAACTATAAATCCAGAATTCCATAAGCAACAAAATACCTTTCAAAAACAAGGGTAAAATAAATACTTCTTCATACACACTAAAGCTAAAAGAATTCATCACCAGCAGACCCACATGACAAAAATCTTAAAGGAACTCCTTCAAGCAGAAGAAAAATGATGCCAGATGGAAATATGAATCCACATAAATGAATAAAGAGTACCAGACATGGTAACTAAATGGATAAAAATACACAATTCTTTCCAAAGGCCTATCTATAAAGAGAAAAAGGAAGACAGGGTAGTAGCTATGGGCAGGCAAGGGACTAAGGGAAGTTTCTATTTTGGTTTTTAGGACATGGGAGCAATTTGAGGATATATAAGGTTGATGGGAAAGCAGGTAACGAGAGGGAGGTGACGATGTAGGTTAGAGAGGGCAGAGTTCAGGGCTTGGGCAGCAAGGTGAGTCTTCAGCAGAAGAAGGTCAATCAAGGGCCGGCCCGTGGCTCACTCGGGAGAGTGTGGTGCTGATAACACCAAGGCCACGGGTTCGGATCCCTATATAGGGATGGCTGGTTAGCTCACTTGGGAGAGCGTCGTGCTGACAACACCAAGTCAAGGGTTGGGATCCCCTTACCGGTCATCTTTAAAAAAAAAAGAAAAGGGCCGGCCTGGTGGCGCACTGGAGAGTGTGCCGTTTGGGAGCGCGGCGGCGCTCCCGCCGAGGGTTCGGATCCCATGTGGAGACCGGTTCCCGCTCACTGGCTGAGCGTGGTGCGGGCGCAACACCGAGGGTTGCGATCCCGTTGCCGGTCCCCGGTACGGGCATGACACCGAGGGTTGCAATCCCATTACCGGTCAGTAAAAAAAGACAAAAAGGAAAAAAAAAAGAAAAGAAAAAGGTCAATCATTTCCATGACTATAACCCAGAGATAGGGCTGGGTGCCTAGGCAGGGGGCTTTGCCATTTTCATGGGGACAGGACCACATAGCCTGTCTTTCTATATAGCCTTAGGCTGATAAGCATGTATTGCTTGTATAATCAGAAGAAAAAACATGTTGGTTGGATCATCCACAAGATAGAGCAGGAAATGAAGCCAGAGAGGCTAAGAATCTGGAGAAGAAAGAAGGATGCCAGGTTTGAGGGCTTTAATAGTCCATTTATGTTGCTTATAACAAAAGACCTGAGACTGGGTGATTTATAAAGAAAACCAAATTTATTGCTTACAGTTTCTGAGGCTGGGAAGTCCAAAGCCCATCTGGTGTTGGCAACAGTGACCCAGGGGTCTCACATTGCAAGACAGTGGAAGCAGCGTAAGAGAGAGAGACAAAATCTCTTCTTTTAAAGCCCTGAGAACCACACCCCTGACCGCCATAGCACGGTCCTACAATCCAATCACCTCTTCAAAGTTCTGCCTTTTAATTACCATATAGGATTTCCCACCCTCTTAACGGTCTTAGTGGGGGCCAAGCTTCTAATACATAAAACCTGGGGAATACAATTCAAGCTTCAATAGTTTTGGGGGGACATAATTCAGTCCACTACAAGGGCCAATCCTACTCACAAACACCCCAGCTCCTCAAAGATTGCCCTCACTAAACCTAATCAACAGCCTAGGTTCCATAAGTAAATGCAGAATGTCTAAACACTGAAAGAACCTCAAGAAAATAAAATCAGGGCACAAATTAGAATCTGGTTCTCTCTGGACACCCTCGCATAGATGTCCCCTGCAGAAAATCAACAGGGAGTCCAAGTGATGCCTGGTGCTAGTGTTTTAAGTTCAGGAATATTGTTTTTCTACCCTGTGAAGATATTTAAGTATACAGTACAGATTAGGAACAAAAAACATTTTTATGCCCTCAGGACCCAATGTTTTCATTTAGGTGTTAAGAAGAAATGAAACATTCCATACTAAGATAAAAATAGCATACTATGTGAGAGCTGTTGAACCCTCCCATGGTAATGTGCTTTTTAAGAGACTTTTTTTTTTTTTCCTTTTTGTCTCTTTTTTCGTGTCCAGCAATGGATCGCAACCCTCAGTGTCGCGCCCATACCGGACCGGGACCGGCAACGGGATCGCAACCCTCGGTGTTGCGCCCGCACCTCGCTCAGCCAGTGAGCGGGAACCGGTCTGTATGTGGGATCCGAACCCTCGGCGGGAGCGCCACCACACAACCTGAATATTATTATTCCTCACAGCAGCACTTCAATATTTGGATAAATATTTCAAAAATGCTGTTTCCAACATTCTGATGTAACCTGTTTGCTTTCTATGAAGATATGAAATAATGATCAGCTAGAGTCAGGTACCATGAGAACAGAAATCTTTGGTCATTCTGAAGTTTCTAGTGCTCTGCTCTGTTCTACAGTTGTCAATATTTGCATGATATCGTTATGTATTTATAGAAGGAATGAAGAATAAGTAAGTTTTGGAAAAGACGATGAATTAGATGTTGAGCATTTTGAGCCTCAAATTCCCAAAGAATGTAAGCACACTCCCAAGCGGCGCACTGTAGCAGTGCGCCACCGGGCCGGCCCTTTAAGAGACTTTTTAACCTAACAAACTGACTACACTTTGAGCCATGCATAAAGTGAAAATTACTGCATCACTGGTAGCAAGGAAGTTGTCTGCAGAGCAAGAGTGGGGGCACCATGCCAAATCTGCCAGGGAGCCCTAGCCTAGGTCAGCACCAGCACACCCTTCCAGCTTTTCTCAGAAGGCTCTCTACCAGCTGCAGGTTTCTTCACAATGGCTTCTGTGGCAGGGAAGCCAAGTGCAGAAGGATCAAAAATAGCCAGGGGTTGGAGGGGCATCAACCCATGGTTTCCATAGGCAATACTCAGTGTGCTCCTCTAACAAATGGAGAAAATACCACCAAAATGCAGAAAAGTACAGGGCTACTGTGAAGATTAAATGAGAAAAGATGTGTATGGACACTGGCACGTGGTAAGCATTCCATAAACAACTGCAGTGATGATGATGATAATGATGATTGGAGTTTACAATTCAAAGAGATGGAAAGGTGCCATAACAAAGTTCTATTAATTATCCTGCTAAACACATTCAGAATCCATCCACTTGCCCCCATGCCCACTAACACTCCTCAGCCATCTCTCACTTGGACAATTGCTATAGCCATCTAACTGGTCTCTGCGGTCAGCCCTCTATTTCCTCTCCAGACCCTGCTCCTCACAGCAAACCAAGTGGAACTGAAAGTTAAAAGGCAAATCTGATCATATCACTCCCCTGCTAAAATCTTTTCAATGGCTTCCCCCTGTCCTGTGAATAAGTATGGATTCCATAGCATTCTGCATACTCACTTGGCACCACCAGACATGGTCTTTGATCACTCACATTCTTTCACCTTCCTCAGAGCTTTCTAAGGCTGTTTCTCTGCTGAAAAAGCCCTCTGACCCCGCTCTTCTTCTGGCTAATCTGACTCATCCTTCAGATCTTAGCCTAAACATCACTTCTATAAAGACACCTACCTTGACGTTCAAACCAGGGTGGGAGGTCTCCCATTACAGTGCCTGATAATGCCCTGAGACTCTCCTTGATGTATTTTTCAGTCT